CACAATGTTGCGGCTCGACGCTTGCAGCTGTGCAATTTCCAGTTGCATCTTTTGGATCATGGCCTCTTTCTCTTCGTCGACGGTCACCGGCCCCGGCTTCTCGACCGTGATGGTGAGCACGAGCTGCGAGTTGACGCGCTGCTTGCGAAACTCGTCGGGCACGGCGAGCGTAAACGACCGGCGCTTGGCTTCGTTTTGCTGCTCGAATTGCGCGAGCGGGAGCACCGTCGTGCCAATGAGATCGTCATCGCTCGCGCTGTCGTGGTCGTACACTTGCACGTCGAGGACCTTCGTAAACATGTCCCCTTGCGTCAAGTGGAACTCGTAGCAGCAGTTGTCCCAGACAGGGTTGAGGTCTTTTGGGATCACGGGGCTCTTGTGTCGCTGCGACTCGACCGAGAAGATGACATACGGGTCGCTCGTCGCCTTGCGCAAGAGCGCAAAGTCTGCCGCCGCCAAGTCCATGGCCTGGTGCAACTGGACCTTCAGGAGGCGGGGCACGAACGAGCCGTCGACAATGTGTTCGCCCGCAATGACCTCGATCGAGAGGTACAGCTGACTGTTGACCTTTTGCCGCTCAAACTCGGCGGGCACGTTCAAGTTGTACGAGCGCATCTTGGCACTGCTGTCGAGGCCGTCAATCTGCTTGGCAAACTGCGCGAGCGGAATCGCAAGCGTCCCGATGATGTCGTCCGCCGACAGATCGTCTTCGTCCATGACCTGGATGTCGAGCACCTTGGTGTACAAGTCGCCTTGCGTAATGTTGAAGTCGTACACGCAGCCTTCCCAGACCGGGTTGAGCTCGCGCAGCAGCACCGGCGTCTTGAAGCGCTGCCGGTCAATCGAGAGAATCACATATGGGTCGCTCGTCGCCTTGCGCAAGAGGGCAAAGTCCGCGGCCGCCAAGTCGGTCGCCTTGTGCACGTGGACGCGCAGAGTGCATGGGCGGTAGGTCGCCATGATGCTTGTCGGCGTCTCGGAAATGACAAAGTGGCGGCTGCGACACAAAAATAGAAAAAGACAGCGTTTTAAAATACAACGTTTCTCTTGGTTTTAGTATGCAGCATCAACGAGAGTGCCCCCGCTGGGCCACCTCTCTATCTAAAAGCACGCCACTTTGGCGTTGCGAGCCAAAGTGATCGGCGACATTCGCCTCGCGTTCGCGTCCTGTATATACCGTGTCGAGGTAGATACCAGTGCAGGTTGTATACAGCGCCCAGGATAAGCACAATCGCATGCGCAATACAGGGCGAGGCGTCTACGACCCACCTGTGGTTGCGTTGGTTTAGCCAACACCAATGTCTCTCCCAGTCGGTGCGGTGTATTCCATTTCTCGTATCAGTCTCACTGTCAAAGGTTGTCGGTGGCGTCCAGAGATTGTTTCATCGAAGCAGGTGGCCGACCCCACGACGCGAGAAGGGCCGAGTACCTTGAAGAAGTGTGCGTCGACATCTTCATTCTGGCTCCAAGATCCTTGAAGTGGATCCTAGCTACTCGCTTCTGGAACGATCGCTTGCGGGCTCAGCGATCCCAGGCGGCGATCCGCCTGGGACCGACGTCCCTGCATGAGCACAGGCACCCGACGCATCGTTTCCATAGAGAAAGAAACACGTATTAATACTGTCGCTTGGCCTTGGCCGCACCGCCGCGTCCCATGCAAGCACCGGAGACTAAAAGGATAAAACGACATTTAAATAAGACAGATATGGTAATTGCATTCCGATGCGCTCGCACCGGTATGCAATGCAGCAGAGTCGATCCCACGACCCAAAGTGATCAAGAGCCGTGCATACACCGTCATCGCGTTGTAGCGTCTCTATCAAGTACCCCTACAACAGCAACGTCGGGGCAGTCGCGTGGTGCCCGATCCCGATGACTCCAATATTGGTGTGGTATAGAAAAACCTATAGTGTGGATCTTGTCGAAACGACGCGCAACATGGCGGCGACCAAGTCGCGGACCGGCCGCAAGGTGCTCGATACCAAGACTGGCAAGATCGTCGCAGAGTTCAAGGAAGATTCGATTCGCCTACGCGTCTATGATCCAGACAACACCAACGTCGCCACCAACCCGTACCGAGCCATTACCCGCGCCAACCTCCGCTTGTGCGTCAACCTCCACCACCATGGCATGTGATTTTCACGCGAGTAGAAAGGTCGTCAATCGGCTCTTTCACTGCAATGCATATTATGCGCGTGATCCGTTTGGAAGTACGTGGACGCGATGACGACGGCGCGTTGTACGACATGGATCTAGTGGTACTGTGGCCGCGCGAGTGGCAGCTCAAAATGATGCCCGCGACGCCCTCCGAGCCTTGGTGCTACGACATCGTCGAGAGCGACGAGCCGCTGCCCTTTGATGATGCAATGGACACGCGCTACGAAGGCTACACGGTGATTAAAGTGGCCAATGTCCCGAAAGAGGTGCCAGACAGTATCCTATTGTAGTCTTGTGATCGTTTTCTCTCAATGCTAGTGCACCGAGATGGACTTACGGCACTGGCTTCTCCACGGCCTTCTCATGGACTACGACCAAATCCACGACGCAAAGTTCAAGCTCTCGGTGCTGGAGAAGAAGAAGGACCTCCTTCTCGACCGCCTCGAGACCGTTGGCACGATGCAAGTGGTACCTGCCTGCTTTGACTTGGATGTGAACAACGACAACGATTGCCAAGTCGACGTATGGTGCTAGAGCGGAAAGAAGGCGGAGCAGGTCGACACGCGGCAGCAAGTCGCGCAATGCGCAACAGCAAGCCTTAGACAATCAAATTCAAACGACAAAGGAGTGCATCAAGCGCTGGACGCGGCTCTTTCTGAGCGAACCCGTCACCCTGAGCTACCTCAAAGACGGCGTATGCATCACGATTTATGTGATTCTACAACAAAACATCGATAGACCGAGCACCGGTTTGTCGACGCGGCCAAGGAAAACGTACTACGAACTTGGCTTGAATTGCGATTGCAACCCACTTGCGATATTGTAGGAGAAAGAAAAATACCACTGGTTTGCCGACTTTACGAGTCTGCGTGGCCACGACCTTGCGCTCATGGTGCACCTTCGATGTGTGTCTACAATAGTAGGACAATATTGTATGTAGGCCATCCATAAACGCGACTGGGGGGACCTCCGCTTGGCTAAAACGCGCCCTGTACCGACCGTCTCGTGCGACGAATTTGACGACCCATCGCTGGAAGTCAACATGCGCATGGTGCGCATCTCCCGCGTCAAGCACGGCCCTGGCGGTGTGCCAACGATGAATCGATCACTTCTGAAAACGTCGAGAACGCGTAGATTACTATGCCACCGACGACCTGCCGACCGACGACGACTTTCATTTTAGCTCGATCGATGCCATGTACCGGGGGGCGTGGGTCGACGGCACCAAGCATGACCCCAAGGCCATCGAGTACACGAATTATGGCGTCTACAAGGGCAGCTACGAGTACAACGTGCGACGCGGCTACGGTATTATATCCCATGCATCATTTCGTGCCCATGTCTTTGTGGTAGGGGTCATGGTCTATGGCCGCGGCGACGAATATGCGGGCGACTTTGACGTCCCTCGGTCCAAGTACGAGCTACGACCCAAGCCCGAACCATACCCCAAGCCCGTGCTGCCAACGCAATTCCAGATCGGTGTCCCTCACGGCACAGGGACCATCAAGTTTGCAGATGGCGCCACGTACGACACTACTGTCTTGACTTTAAAAGCGAAGACATGACCGAGTAGGTACGAAGGCGAGATGGCGAACGGCCAAGTCACGGGCCGCGGGCGCTACGTCTCGTCCGCGGGTGTGATCGAAGAAGGCATCTTCTTCGAAGGTCTCTTGCACGGCCCTGGGTACCGCAAGGAGCCCAACGGGTTCGCGCTCTTGCCTCATGACTCAACCCGAGCCCTACCCTACCCCTAGGTTGTGCGAGGAAGGTGTGTTTGAGCACGGCGTTTTGAACGGACTTGGGACGCAGACCAACCAGTACAACGACGTCTATAACGGCTCGTTTCGAGATGGTGGGAAGCGTTTGAATTAAGAAAAGTTGACCGAGGGAAACATTGATGATGTAGGCGCCAAGTGCGGCCGCGGTGTGCTGGAATCCCACGACGGCAGCACTTTGCGAGCCTTTTGGTACAATGATCTGCCGTCCGGGCGTGGCGACCTAGCGTACCACCAGACGCTGCCGTCCGATCCAGAGGTACATGACAAACGAAGCCTGCATTGTCGCTTCCCAGATGTCGGCGTAGACCAGTGTTCGGTTTCTGTATGAAGGGTCGTTTAGTCAAGGCAAGGTCAAGGGCCGCCACCGCCACATCGACGTCGACCACGCAACGATCGGGCACATTCCATTCACGACCTATGGAAAGAGTCCCGTGCATCTGGCCTACCCCATGGCCTTGGGCAGTGCGCTCTACAAGCAGCAGTGGCGCCGGCACAAGTGGCCAAATACATCTTATTCGAGCACAATGACTCACCTCGCGTCATGTAGAAACCTCCGTCGGCGAGCCGACCGTGAGGATTCCTACAAGGACGACCAAGAGCGCGCGAATCTCAAGTTGTTTTTCGACGGAAGTACCGTTCTCATCGGAAGTGTAGACTCTACTACGAGCTGCTCGATGACTTTTACGAAGCGTGGGCCGACCACATTCGATCGCTGAGCCACCCGGACGCGCCCCTGACCGAGGAGCAGCTCTTGCGGCAGCGCCAAGAACGGGTAAAACAATTTATACTAGTATGTCGCAAAATTGTCTATCGAACCATTGGTTCTAGCTGCGCATTGGCAAACCGAAGAAGACGCTGGCGCAGTTTCCATCCTATCTCCAGCGGGTGCCGCTTCGGTTCAAGGATGCAATTACATTGGGGCTCTTAGCGCACGAGAATGCCGAAGAAGAGACGCGCATACGCCGACGCCTCGTCGTTCCGCCAGAGTAATCACGCGGCGTGGTTGGCCCACAACGACGGCCGACGAGCTCCCACGTCAGTGGTACATGTCTCTTACGACCAGCGCTGGTGCATATTTGGCGTTGTATTTTTGCGCATTTGATGGGCTTGCGTTGAAAGATTGATACTAAATCGGGCGAATACACCGTCTTGGACGGGTGGCTGATGCCAAGCACACGATACATTGGATCGCACGCCCAGAGACAATGTTGGAGCAAGGATAAGCAAGAATACACGCTGTTGTGGTTGGTGCCCACGACTTGTACACTACACGTGCATGCAGTTCTGCTTGCATCTCAAGTTGAAGCTTGACACCACTGCCCCTACATTCAGGTCTAGGTTTAGCTTCTTGTAGTACATGTACTGTATAATTCACTCACTCTTCATTTCAACGCCTCTTGAGCACCTGTCTTCCACCACCCTTGGTGCGCAGTCGAAGCAGGTCTCAACACACGCCGTGCAAGGATGGACCGCGCATGATGGACGGTGAAGAAGCCCGTCATTGAAGCACAAAATGATGAAAATTAGATAAGAGCCAACAAGGAAGCTAGCGACGCTTCCGCTTGGGAATCGTCGTCGCCGGACGCATGGCGTACGTCGTTGGCGCCGTTTCCGCCGACGCAAGCGCGGGCCAGTACCGAAACATGACCTCCGAGAGAGCCAACGTCACGACGGGCGTCGTAATGACGAGCGCGTTCGCTGGTGCGTTGGACGGCTCGTGCAGCTGGCAGAGCAGGATCGTCTTCTTGACGTCTTCGCTGAGCCGCGTGAGCACCTAGACCACCGGCCCGCGTCTCGACTGTGCCAGTTCA